TACCATAATAAGGAAACCCTTTTTCAAATCCCTTAACAAGAACCGTCTTGTGCCTGGCACCGCTGAGAGCTTCTGAGCTTTAGGATTCAGGGCCTGTGGATCAGGGTTTAGGGTTTCGGGTTTAGGGTTTAGGAGGATGCACGATTTGGGCAGCAAGCTTCTGCTTCGCACTTTAGCGTTTTCAGAACCCTTCCTTATTCAAGTTTAAACGGACCCTTAACAAAGACCAACCATGCTTGGACGCCTGTTCATGTTTCGAATCCTTGCCCTTCATCGCACCTACAGCTGCAGAAGGGTCCAGCATATTCCGAAACGGCCTTACGCAAGCAAAACTTACGAACTCAGGGTTGGGCTACAGCCCTCTAAATGATGGCTGCAAACAGAAATCCTATCTGACGCTCCCGGCATGCACGCGCCCTGCCTTGTAACCTACAGAGTTTGGGGTAGACGTCGTCGGCAGGCATGCCTCGAGATGGCGCGATTTGGCCTAAAGTAGTTCCACAGTAGATCCACCCCGGCAGCCCCCTCGGCCCTTCGCCCGTTTCGCCCAAACCCCGGGAAAGAAAGAGCCACATGTTACAGTTTGTGGCTCTCGCAAGGGATCCATGAGGGTTCAGGATACACACCCTTGGCAGGGCTTGCGAAATCCACACCCCTTGCGGTAATGCTGGATACCCCTATGTAATTCTATGCTACATCCCACATGACAAACCGTTCAACCAGACAAAGCCCTCATGAAAGCAAGCCTAGATGTTTTAGTCTGATTCATAAAGCCCCTACAGCACATCCCAGGAAAATCTTCCAGGGTACCGAGTTGGGTAGCAGACTGGAAGATATCATCTTGCCTCCTATCTCTATGCTTGCGGGTCTCTGGAGTGAAAGGGGTTGATGGTTCACTTAGGGGCTGAGTAGGTAATCTTTAACCTACCCTAAACCCTAAACCCTAAACCCCTAAACTTTAACCTTTTGGGCTCATATAAATTTTGGGCTGAAGTGCTCGGCCCCTTAGTTCAGGATTTAGGAGTTGCAGGTGGTGGGCTTCAGGGTTCAACGTCACGATGTCGGGCTCATTTTTAGGTGGGCATTCTTAAGTTAGACGTCTCGCAGGTCAGGTTTCCGCATTCCGTGTGCAGAGTTGAAGAGACAGAAATTGCAAACCCAACTTTAGGTTTTAGGCTTTAGGCGTTAGTTGCTTAGGGCTTAAAGGTAGGAGCTGCGCTGGGACCTTGTGTTTAGTAGTTAGAGGAACAGAGGTTTGAGAACCGGCGCCATCAGGGTCCGCATAGTCAACCCCTGAAACACACACTCCAGAGCTTGCTACAAGACCCTTGTGCTTACGATGCGCCGGACCCCTAAGAACCTTAGGCAGATAGACAGGGCAAGTTGCAGACGGGAAAACTATGTGCAAGAATGGCTTGGGCCAGACTGGAATGACCTGAATGAAGACTGAATCTAACACAGAAGCTTAAACCCTAAACCTTAACCCCTAAAGCCTAAACCCTAACCTTAAACCCTAAACCCTAAACCTTAAACCCTTGAATCGAGAAGTGGCAAAAAACCCTTGAATGCTTACTGTCCCTATGCTATTCCTCAGGGGGCCTTCTACCCCAAGCCCCTTCGGTCCCTGTGATGAACCTCTAGCCCGACAAAATCCTGCAAAAGAACAGTAGAAAGCCGGATACAGCATCATACAGATTCCTGAAAAGGAGTGACACGATTCCTTGGGGCTTGCTTTGTATAGCTACAGTTAGGGTAAACTCTGCCCCAACCTCTTATGCTTACTATCAGGGCGTCCATCATCAAGACCCAGAGGCGAAAGCTTAAACCCAAACTATCAGAATTAGCAAAAAAAACCAGTTTTCCAACCATGGACTCGGACCCCGGGATCCCATTATATACCCAAATACTAGGGTCCTGAATATAGAGACTTATCAGATAGCCCCTCAAAGGATGTACCCCTAAGCTGGCGAAGCCCCATATGGGCTCCATGGGAGAACCTCAACTCGCCCCTTAAATGATGGGATCCTCAGTATAACCACCCTTCAACCTAGGTACCCCTATTTATCTACTTTGAACCCAAGAAGCCTTAAACCCTAAACCCTAAACCCTAGACCCATGTGGCTCCATGGGAAAGACAACTTGCTGAGCAGGCTCAGCCCAGCTCAGGTTGTCGAACGTCACGCGGGCTCTGGAAGGATTCCGGATCTTTATCAGCTGCTACTCAGCTGCGGTTCATAAACCCTAAAGCCCTAAACCACGAAACCCTAAACCCCCACACCTAAATTCAGAAGCCCTTCATTTCACCCTCACAGCCGCTGCTGACTCAGCCGCGATTCCGCGCCTTTGGGTTTGCGATCATGGCAAGCTTAGAGTCCCAGAGCCTCCGCAACCTCTCCTTTGAGGCACCTTAGATCATGGAAGGATAGTGGTTATGATTTTCGTTACATTCTCTAAACTCTTCTTAACTACTGGGATGTCTTTCCGCTGAAGCTGGGCAAGAACACTCTTTGGGGCTTTGGGGGTCCAGGTCTTAGGGTTCAGGGCTTGCTGCTTGGCTGTAACTGCCTAGCGGATACAAAAAAAACACCGGAAATTTCTGTCGTAAAGATTTGCTTTGCCTGCTACAGCCGTAGACCAAGAGGCCAAAACCCATTCCTAAACTTCGATTGCTGGCACCTGTCCTTGAACTTTGTGTGGCCTACACACAACTCATGTACCGACGTCTGTGCCTGTAGTAGTAACCAATCACTTCAGGTGTTCATACATGTGCCTAACCCCCGAACCTCCTAAACCCTGAACCCTAAACCCTGAACCCTAGAACCCTAAACCCTGAACCCTAAACCCTAAAACCCTAACCCCCGAACCTTAAGCCTGGTCTCTTTGCTTTCAACCCGCAACCCTAAACCCTTCCAGCAAGGTCCCAAGGCTTGAAATGCCTTTTCCCCCAAAAGAGCCGGTGCTGTTTGGATTCAGGGTCGGGAAATCGAGGCTTTCTGCCATCGGGGACCTTCCTCAATGCTCTTATAGAGCGCTCTTCAAGCTCGTATAGGCCTTCTTCCAATCTCTTGTACATCTCTTCCCATGCACTTGAACAACTCTTCTCAAAGGCCGTGTACTACCCTGCCTTTTCTGGTTTCGAACCCTTCGTAAACTTTGTTCAGAACCCGAAGAATTGTGGTAGGCTGCGTTCTGGGACACCTCCTGGCGTGCCTGCTGCCGATCTTGGCCGGTGGATTCCTAGAGCGCTATAGTGCCTTGGATCCGGTCACTAAGGGGTGGTTCAGGGTTTAGGGGTTCCTTCAAAGAGGGTCTATCAGGCTTCTTGTTATCAATCAAGGGCTCTGAAAGGGCCATGGTTAACAGATCACCCCGCTTAGGACACTGAAAACTCTATGCGTAGCCTCAAAAAATATGTGTTAAGCACACGGGGCAAGCCAAACTCTTCGTAATTCCTGGCCGCAAACGCTGAGCTCACGATTGTGTTAATCTGCAGCTGCAAATAAGAAGTAGCAGTAGTGGTAGTCGTTGTGGCGGTCGTCGTCGCCGCCGCGGCAGGCGCAGTGATCGTAGTAGGTCAGCGTGGTGTTGTTGTCGTGATGATGCTGGCAGCTGGAGTGGTAATATCCGTCGTGGTGTTTTGGCTGTCCATTCTGGTTAAACGGTAATGTCACATGTCAGCATGTGTGACGGAGCCACTTCTACTGGTGTCACTTCTTTTGGCACTTCTGGCAAATTCAGCCGATATGTGACCCCCACAAAATCCCCAAACCTAAGCAGTTCTCTGAAAAGGATACCGAAAAAGTTTGTGAACATCAGGTAAAACAGTTCTCAATATTGATAGAACCCTGGCTGACTTGACTTCAGGTGAAAAAGAGCCTGTTCAGACCATTACAACCCTAAAGCCCTACGTACAAGAACCCCAGATGAAACCCCTAACCAGAAACCCTCACCCTAAACCCTAAGCCCTAAACCCAAAGCCGAAACCCTTATGAAACCCTAAGCCTTGCAAATGGAGCCCAAGGTTGGGAAGGAGAGCCAGTCTCGCCGCTTTGGCTACATGATAGTCCGAAGGTTCAGGGTCGTAGTTTGGGGCTTTGGGGTTATGTAGCTCAGGTTGTTTGTGGCTTTAGCCACCAGGGGTTAGCGTTTCAGCTTGGAGTTTGAGTTTATGTGTTTGGTGTTTAGGGTGTCGGATTTTGTACTTGTGGAAAAGGGGGGGTGCTTCTCACCACTGCGGCTGTAGTCCATAGGGTTCTGTTGCGGGCAACAACTTGCAAGCGGTTCGGCGATGTATTCCGGCGGGTGCGGCGTCGCTCTTGTCGTGTCGATCTGTGATGATTGTCGCAAGCTTCAACCCGATGTTGTGGGCGTCCGAGCTGTCACGGTTCTGGAATGGAGGGGTGTCGTCGTCGTGCCTTGGCTTCTTGTCGATATGAGAATATATCCTGCCCAATTGCCAATCCGCTGGTTGGCTCAAAAGCCAACCGACAGACCCGGCGGAACAACATTGGCACCAACACAACAAACGAGCGATGTCGGATACTCGGCATAACGCGCTGTATCGGCCGTAACGATGCTCAGCCTGGCGCTCACTGGCACCCCCACACAGAGGAGACGTGCCAACATGGGCACACCGGCATGGGCTGTGACGTCTTCGAGGATTGCGGATTGTTGTGCCGACACTGTGCAGCGGCGCCTTTTCCTGCGTCGTTTTGTCACGCTGCGCTTGCTTCTTGCCCAGGTGCAAAAGGGAGCAGCCCTCTGGTCGAGCACCCCCCTTGCACCGTCCTGGCTGGAATTCTGTTGAATCGTGCAGATACTTGGAAACAGTCACATAACATGTTAAATAATTTCATGGAACAACATGAGATCCATAAAATAAGGTGATATAATATTGCATCATATGGTAGAGCAAAGCAAAATACATGTCTTGATGTGCTAGCCAAGTCCTAATGCCATTGTGCCAAAGGTCACGCTATATCACCACGCTCTACTGGGCCATGACGACAGTCACGACCGTTGGCTATGGCGACATCACGCCGCAGGATCGAATCCCCATGTCCATGCCCCATCCAAAGAAAACCCAAAGCAACCCTGGACTCTAAACCCCTAGTTAAACCCTAAACTCAGACGCACAATAATCTGAAGGCCTCAAACGTCCGATTTGCAATCCCTAAAGCATTTCATCCACATAATCCGCAAGCTTCGTAGCCGTGCTTTCAAACTCTGCAAACCGTGAACTCCCACTCCACTCATATTCCAGAGGCGTTTTTGCTTATTCTCTAACATGCCTCCAACCCCTACTCTGCTCATGAACGCCCCTACCTGAAAGCCTAAACCCTTAAGCAAGCAAGTGGGAAAATAGAAGCCCTGTGAGGGAGCTGAAAGCCCTGAACAAACTCTACTCTCATCATTCAGGCCGCTTTTTCACATCCTGAACCCCAAAGCCTTCATCATAACCTTACACGAAAAACGCCTGTTTCAAACCCTAAACCCTAGACCCCCGACATGGTTCTTAAACTTCTAACAAGTCCTACTTTAAATGCCCAAGTCGCTATATCAAGCCCCCAAGCCCTAAACCCTAAACCCTCAGGAATCCCGAAACCCTCTACACTCAAATTGTTGATGGCCCCAAGTTCAACTCATAAAAAGCCCTTTATCACGCCAGAGACCCTCAAAAGGAGTTCTATGCTTTACATGAAGGTCCCTATACTGCATATACAGGGCCCCCAGAAAAGGGCAGGGATATCCCTCTAAAATGCTTGTGTTTATGGCCCCTCTAAAAGGTCCCTGAATCGATCCCCCAGCCAGGATGACGAGGAGAGGGTTTTCACGATGTTCGCGATGATTATCGGTGGTGCCTTCTACGGTCACTTGGAGCCGAACACTTCGTGGCTAAACGGTGAATTTTGGGGTCGACCGTCAAGAGGCAGCTAGGCGAATGGCGAACGGCGAGAATCCCTAAACCGCAACCGTCATTTACACTGCTTTTTACACATTATATACTAGGTACTACATAATCTTACTTAACCCTAAGGCAGTGTAGACAGGACACATGTTTTCTTCGCGCGGGAGTCACAAACCAATCACCCTGCCGAAAGTATCCCAGTCGTAGCCTTCTAGGAATGGTTACGTCTACTTCGTTTCCACCGGCATGCTCCCCTGTAAGTGTATGGGTGCATGCGGATGCTGTCGGTTCCCTAGCTGGCTGACGTCGCCTCGGGTTTGCCCCCTATGCGGTCTTCTTGAGGTTGACACCTGCTAGCTTCTTTACTATCACAATCCTACAAGCAATAAGGCGTGCTGTTGCGTGCTGTCCGATGGCCTCTGTGAAACCAAAGGTTGAGAGGTTCTCCTGAAACCATTATGACAAGGACGACTTAACCTTCGATGTGTTCAGAAGGACCACATAGCACATTGAAATGTTCACCTGTCAATCCAACTCGTGCTAGACCATATGACCTCGCACCGCCGCAGGCTGTAAGCCCTAAGCCATTGAATTCCTTAAACCCTGAAACATTTTGTACTGAGGACTGAATCCCTGAAACCCGACTCTCTAAACCCCTAGCCTTACACCCGAAACGCGAAATTCTAAGCCCCAAAATAAAACCCTCAGCCCTACATCAGGAACCTTTACCCTGCAATGCGGGCTCGTCCTAGCAAGGTGGGAGGCAAAAAAAACTCCAGGAAACTCGAAACCCCAAAGCCTAAACCAAGGCTACGTGATCGGCAACATTTCTGTGATCCTTGCTAGCCGAGATGCAGGGCCCTTGGCGGCTCATGCGCTCACAGCGAGGGGTCTAAAGGTTTGAGGGCTTAGGGAAAAATTTGAAAACACTCTCCCCTAAAAGCCCCTCTTATAATTATAGTATAGCATAATGCGAAAATTCTCTTCTAAAAGCCCCTCGTACAATTTTATTTATAAGATAGCCCAAAAGCCCTGCTCGAATAACCTGGCAGGGGCAGGGACGAGCCAAAGATCGCGGGTGCCATGGAATCGTCGTGGCAGCCTTGCAGTACATTCGTCTAAACCCACAACCCGTTTAACCCTGAGTTTCTGCAGGTTTTCGGATGAGAGCTTCACAGTTTAGGGGTTTAGGGTTTAGGGGTTTAGGGTTTAGGGGTTTAGGGGTTTAGGGCATACTGGACCGGGTATCGCCAAGCGCTCAGTCTGTGTTGAGCCATGATCGTTTCCGATTGTGGTCGTGCAGATGCATAGATCCATAGATAAAGTCTGGCGAAAAAAAGTAGAACTTGGAACTGCGCACTCTCAACTTGCCGCTTTATGCAGGTCGTGGGAATGCTGAACTCTTGGACAAGAAATGCTATTGAATGTGATCGGTATTGAAATTCCGGTTCGGCACCTGTGTACGCCCCAAGCAGCCTCCCACGAAGCTTGCGGCTATAGGGTCGAGAGTGGCATGGTGGACAAGCAGGTGAAAGCACCATGAAGGTCAGGATATAGATACACAAACAGATGCGGCATCCCGGTATCCATGTGATGTAGCTGCTTCAGTTGTAGCGAGAGAGAGATAGAGACAGAGAGATTGTTTACATCAGTTTTCATGTGTATACGTTACATGCCGGCGAAGAGACGGACAGGGAGTTGGATCTTTTCGTGTTTCCAGGATCGAAGTCTGCGAGTGAGGAGCAGACTACAAAGCATGTTGCTCATCCTACTCTTGCCTGCGCCCTCAGTCAAGTCGACAGAAGCAGTGAAAGGAGGGAATAACGCCTTTACTTCAGGTCAACCGGCAAGCACACAAAGAGCGACTGCGGCTGATCCATGCCTGGTTGGTGCACCATCGACTCTTGGACCAGAAACTCTAAATATTTACCCATACTATTTTGGGGGTCAAAAGCATATTCCTTGTTATAATTATAGTAGAATGTAGTATACTCCAAAACCCTAACCCCATGACGCAGGGTTGCAGCGACACCATCATACAACATGCAGCAATGCCCATAGGGCATTGACTATTAGGTGTGTGTGTGTGCAGATGCGAATATCTGATGAGATAAGGGTGATAATGATGATGGTGGCGAATCTGATGGTCTTGATAATGGCGCGATGTCGATGGCGATGATGAAGCTCGTGGTGATGACAGACGACCGTTTTGAACGATGGGGATGGCGGTGGTTATGATGACAGTCGTGCAGCCCTCGAAGGAGCTGGCGAGGATGATGGGATGGGGTTCAGGGTTTGAAGTCGGGGCAACCGTTATTCATGACTTCTTTTACGGTGATGTCATGACGTGTACTATTCTTCTCCTCTTTGCTCGCGCATAAACCTGCCCTTAACCCTAAATCCCCGAGCAGCGAAACTGCACCTCCCCCGGAAGCATTCGACTGAGGCTTCCCAAATCCACTGAAGCATCGCGTATGGGCTTACTACAAGACGCTGGTGACGAACAAGGCCGGGTTGCTCGATGTTTATTTAGGGAATGTATAGGGCCAGGTGTCAGGTGTTTTGGTTTGTGGTTCGGCGAATTGTAGCCAGCACCTGTCAGTAAATGTTGCGCCGTCTTCTTGCCTTGTTACAATTGCGGGCATGAGTTCACAGAACGGTGATTCGTCGTGCACTTTCCCTTCTTCGTGCAACGGGCACCGACACTAGAAACGCTGAACCGTTGCAGAGGCCTCAAAGTAATACAGGGGCCCATGTAACTACCAACTATTTTGGGGGTTCCTTCTTGTAATTATAGTATACTATCCCCGAAAACCCTGTTCTGACTAAAAAGGGCTCCTCAAAGTAGCCATTGCTTGTCCCTGCCGACTCGAGCGGCTCCGCTTCGCAGTATCCCTACAGACACGGTCATGTACCTCAAAACCCTGGTTTTATTAGTAAGGCCCCTAAACCTTAAACCCTAAACCCCTAAAACACCCGTCGGAGGAAACTCTAGGCAGGAGGAAACAGGCACGTAAACAGCAAAGCACAAACACATATATATATATATAGAAATATACATACATACACACACATAGAAATATATATATGTATATATATACGTGTACATATATATATATATGTATATATACACACATATATCTATCTATCTATCTATCTATCTATCTATCTATCAAGGTTCAAGGGCTCTTGGGGTTGACGGCTTGGAACCCAACCGCAGGCAGCCCTCGAAGACTCGACGATCTTCAACGACCTCTCACCCGAGCTGCGCCAAGACGTGGCCCCCTGGCTGAAACTTCCCAGGGCACGAGACGTCAGGTTGTGGGTTCAGGGCGGGTTTTGGGCATTCTAAGTCCCAAGAAAGAGAGGCTTAGGGCTTAGGATTTAGGGGGGTTTAGAAGCTTTCTACTTGGGCTGCTTCCAGACGACAGGGTCTCATGGCGCAGTGCTTAATTTGGGGGTCATTATAATAAGGATCCTACTATTTAGGGTACTCTATTAGGGTCCCCTATTTTCGGAAACCCCATCTTGTCTGTCTAGCATCAGAAAACGGTTATTGCCTGTAGGACTTCAGGCTTCATGGCGTAGTGTGTTCAGGGTGTCTCGTGACATGTTTCAGGGTTAAGCGTGTGGTTTCCGGGTATAGGGTTCTTAGGGCCTTGGTGTCTTTGTGGTGTCTAGGTCTAGGATCAAAGGCGCACACCTGGGAAGGGTGTTCTACGGTGCGTGCACGGTTCGTTGTTACAGAACTTTAGGGCTTTATGGGGTCTTCCTGGGAATTAGTGGTCTGTTTCGGGGGGATCCACATCATGGAGATCCTACTATTTGAAGCCGAAACGCAGGGCACCGTACTTTCCGGGACTGACATGTGGGCACAGATTTACTTGCTCGCGGTTCCACCTTAGACCCTCAACCCTAAGCACTGTCACTGCCCGTGTAGGAACAGCCCTGGTCCAGGTGTAGCGTGTTGTCGTTTTGGGGTTTCGAGTTTTGTCTTGTAGGGCTTTGGGTTAGTGGTTGTAGAGTTAAAGGCTAAAGGTCGATTTTCCAGGGGGTAGGATTTTGCGGCACCCCAGGCGCGTTATTTGGTCCCTCCGGACCTGTTGAACCATCTTCTCTTCCAGAACATCCCGTCCTCGGTGATTGTGCGCTTGGTTCCGATTATCCAACAGCCGCTAGGCCACGGGGCGGTTAGGATCTAAGGCCCGTTTCCTTACAAAGAATTCAGGGCAATTGTACGCTTTCGGGAGGCCAACCAGATATGAAACAGCGGGGTACCTCGAGTTTTGTTCATGATGGTTTCCGTGTGCTTGTGTACGTTTTCGAAAAGAAGGCATTGCCGGGTTTGAGCGGCTAGGAGAGTTTACTGTGCAGCAAATACAGTTTCGTAGGATCTGCATCAGGTTGCATAAGGGTTCTGGGGTAATGGTTTTGGGATCATCATCTAATGAAGTCGTACCTGTGGTCTTCAAAATGAAGACATGACATTGCTCCTGCGAGGGCTATGCGACCTCTATGCTTGCGGTCAACCTGCTTCCGATGTCTCCCAAAGCAAAAAGCATAAGCACTACACCCTAAACTGATCTGAGTGCTACCACCTAGATGCCTACCCTAAACCCTAAACCCTTAACCCTAAACCCTTAATCCTAAATTCCCTTGCCTGGAGCTAGGCTTTGGCTTGGGGCACTGGGAACTCTGAACCGTGGAGTTTCGCCCGTTTTTTGGTTACGGCTCCTTGGAAAACACGGATCCGAAGCTTCCAACAAGGATCACCGCCCAGCCGAACGAGCGGATAACGTCGCGTGGCGAAATCGGAAGCGGCATGTTCGTCGTACTGGCACCTCGGACCGTAGGATTCTTGGGGTTTAGGGATGTTCAGGGTTTAGGATTTCTACACTTCAGGACTATAGGCTTGGGAGTCTAGGATATTCCGGGACTAGAGCTTATTTAAGCTACAAAGCTTGACACTTCTTGGTATGCTCTCAAAAAGCCAGGAGTCAGGACTTACTTAGGCTTCATGGGCTTACATACTCGAGTTGAGGCTTAAGGGATTTAGGGATTGAGGGCGTGGGGCTTTAAGTTGAAACCTTTCAAGCTTCAAGATGCAGAAGAAACTTGATTAAGGAATCCATCGATCCCTGTCAAGGGCCCCAAGACGAACCAGGAGTTACTTCATCACACTCCTGCCATAGAACCTATAAATGCAGATCCTTCTACAACCTTATAGCCCCATGGTAATGAATGCCATGGTATACCCCCCCCCCCCCTTTAAAGGAGGGATCCCGGAGCTTTAAAGATCGCCCCAAAGTGCGGCGGAAACACGAAGCATCAACGCAGCAGCTCGAATACCGAGGGTTCGGGGTTTACAGGGCCTCTCGTACCTCGAAATTTCAGGCAGCTGAGAGCCACTTTAAGGGTTTAGAGTTTAGGGTTTAGAGTTTAGGGTTTAGGGTTTAGAGTTTAGGGTTTAGAGTCTAGGGTTTAGGGTTTATAGGGTTTAGGGTTTAGGGTAGGGTTCATCCTGACAAGCCAGAGAGAGAAGGGGTCTCTGAACACTGCGGAGGATATGATACAAGGATGGACTACAGCAGTTCGACACTAATAGCAAGAAACCGCTTAGAACACTGTGTGTGTCTTTTTTTGTGGGGGGGCATATTCTACAGTAGTTAGTATTTTTGCATTGTGGATCCCTGAGGAATGGCATTGGTGTCTATTAGGGTTTCGGTTCCGACAGCAACCATGGAGCCTAAACCCTGCACCCAGTGGGAACTCCTGCTGCTGCTAGAACCGACCAGAACCATGTTTCAACCATACAGTTCCCCAACACCAACATAAGCAACCAAGTTTGAGCCGTTAACCCCGAACCCCTATATGGTACCTCTATAGAGCCCTGAGTGCAGCGCTTCTAGAAACTCTATGGTGACCCTTTGCTGAAGCCCTAAACCTGAACCCTCTATGGTACCCTTGGAAAACCCACCGAAGAAGCACCTAAGCCTCTTCTGCCCCGGGCAACAGAGGGCGCTTCGTTATAGAACCTTCCAAAAGCTTCCTAAGCTTTAAAACCTCAGCCTTTAGAGTGCTATTGGTGAAAGCCCTTCCAAAGCCCGAAACCCTATGCGCCATAAACCTCCCAAAACCCCCTAAACTCCCCCAACCCCATGCCCCGTCCTTACACCCGAACCCCAAGACCCTAACCCCAAAGCCCTAAGCCCAAAACCCCAACTAAAACCCATACTAAAACCTCTGTCTAAGGATGGCATTGCACTGATGGACCAGTCCGACCCCGAAGTGCCCAACAGGCGCCTTTTGAGAACTAGGGCTTAGTAGAGTGAGCAGGTAGTCTTTCATTTGGTTGTGGTTGCAGGGGTTTTAGCGGTTTTTGGGGGGGTTTTGGGGTAGTAGACTAGGTAACCTTTAACCTTTT